TTATTTTTTAATATAATTTCGAACCTAATCTGATATTACATGGTGTGGAATTTTTGAAGAGGAGCATGATTAAGGGGAAGAAAATTAATCCTATTTGAGTTGCTCTTTAGAAATTTATATTCACATAAAGGTAAGTGTGACCCAAAGTATGAGTTCGTACAATTAGTACGTTGTTCATGAAGTTGGTTGTGTCACCACCTTAGGACTTGTGATACCAAAAATTTGAATGCATGTTTTCTTTAATTTAAACGTACATGTCAGTGCCACGTTAATATCATTAGTCAACTATGTCTATCGGTCAGAAATTGTGTTCCCAAATTTTATTATTATTATTATTATTTTTAAAAAAATTAATTTTACTCTATGACATAGTTATTTTATTTTTAAATTACAAATAAAAATAATTATGTAGTAAAAGAATAAATATAAATAATAATTATTTATCTTCTAATGCTATTTTCTACTTGTTCTTTTAGCTCTTTGTTTATATGTAAAATAGATTTTGAAATCTTATATAATTTATTTATAAATCTACACTTGTCTTTTTTATTTAGAAAATATAAAATTACCCGTAAAATGATAAAATTAATATGCGTAGAAATTTATTTAAAATTTAATAAGTTAAAATAAATGTGAATTTATAATTAAATTTCACAGTACTTGTAAATTCGTTTTAAATATAATCTTTAAATAATTAAATTTCTGTGTAAAAGATAGACACTTTTGAAATCAAATACAAGTTCGTAAACTCCGTGAATTACTTTCTTTATAAATAAGGATATGATATTTATTATTTTTAAAGATATATTGTTAGTCTTCCTTATAATTATCAAAATTTCATTTAAATATTTCAACTTTTTTTTTTCCTTTATTCAACAAGATTCATTAATGAGCGTCAAAAGTAACAAAATTTAAGTTCGCAAGACTTAAAATAGCTTATTAGAATATTATCCTCAAAATTACTATTTATAACTATAAATTAATATATAAGTTTGGTTATAAATAAATATTATCATCAAAATTTTTAGCCGCTTCATTGGAAAATAAATTTCCGTCCCATAAAAAAGTTCTTATCCACTCATGAACTTTAAAAATTTTGATTGAGAATATTCGTAAATTAAATATCAACAGCAATCGAAAAATATATTAAATATTTATATATAGTTTTATATTTATATATTATATCTTTTAATTAATATTTTATGATATTTTTATTAAATTTATATTTTTATAATAAGTTTATTTAAATTTAACTTATAAATAATTTATATAATAAACTAAAATTTTATAAGTTAAATATGCAGAGTGGAATGCAGGTTTTAGGGTGGAGGTGGGAATGAGACAGAATTAGTAATATCTACACTTTCGTTCCTAATATTATTAATTAAAATTGACCGTCAATTTTATTTTATTAAACAATATTTAATAAAATATAAAAAATGATAAAATTATAATTTTTCAGTACAATATAAGTATGACTGATTTAAATAAAATAAATAAAAACTGATTAGTTTAAAAACTGTTAAAATAGTGATTTATAATTTTTCTTAATTGAAATATTGATTTAAAATTACCAGGGACTGCGTCGTTTTAGGCAGAGAATAAAGAAAAACCTGCGTCGTTTTAGCCAGCAAATGTCCGAGCAGCAGTGGCAGGTTTTGATTCCGAGTTTTCTGACTCACTGAACCACTGGGAGCAAGAATAAAACCCACAAACAGAAATCAGTACCTTGTTCCCGAATACATTTTCAGTCCTGATCGGCTTTTCTTCAATTTATCCATCCCTCATGTCGCCTTCTTCTACAGAATAGTCTTCACAGTCCTGTATAAATTGCGCATTTACTGGCCATGGCTCTTCCTCTTGGGAAGTTGACCATCATCGTCGGCGCAGGTCTGTGAATTCCTTAGCGTCTCGGATTTCCTTAAATTAATTAATTTTAGAACTAGTTTTACGTTGGCTGTGCCAGTTTAATATTAGGGTTTTTGATAAACCCTCATCCTAGTCGAATAAACAATAGTTGGGAAGTAGTGTGATTTTTTTTTTCTTTCGATTATTTGTTCTCCTTTTAAGGTTAATTGATCAATTTTGGAGTTATCTACGTCTTGATTGTTTAGATCATGTCGGAGTTCCGTAAGGTGGTACTTGATTGGGCTTTAAATTGGTATATAACCTGCTTCGGTAGCTGGTGCTAATCGGCAGCGGATGTGTTGCTGGTTTGGTAGTCATTTGATAATAAACTCATGGGTAATGTTAGCTGCAACTTGGAAATATGATCTTAAAACTCCTATTGCAGGAGGAGGAAGTCGTGGTGGTTAATATGCTAATTCATTTACTGAAGAGAGATAGAGCTAAATCTTTGGAAAATGTTGCAACTTTCTGTCTCAAGGCATTGTACTCCTAGAAATACAGGAAAAGCCAGGCTAGAGAAGTATTGGAAATTCCTTCAACAAGAACAATAATAGAGGAATAAAGAGGGAGTGGAGAAATAAATGAAAGCCTAAAAATCATGAGAAAATATAGGTTTTGTAAGCCTGATTTTGATCTCCATTAAGGAAAGTTCTTGTGTATACAGGGAATACATATTTGGTTATCTATTTACGAATATGAATATTTATGCCCTTTGAAGAAATTATGTGTATGAATATGATTGAGATAAACTAATGTAAGGGAGCTAAGTTGAGAGATAATATAGGAGTGAATTGGGTTGTGGGTAGACCGGTCAAAGAGGACTTATGGGCCTGGAGAGGTTTATAGGGGGATTAGTACAATAATAATCAACTAGGTTTTATCCCTTTGGTTACCTTTTAGGAATAGAAAGATTTGAAGGTATAGAATTGTCTTTTCATAGTATTAAGGATGCTTTGACTGACATGTAAATACTTTTGTATAAGAATTACAATTCCTTGATGCTTTTTATATTATGACTTTTTTTATTGAAAAAAAAAAAAAAAAAAAAAAAAATTTGAGTGAAAACCACTTCTCACTACTTCCTTCCCACCTGAAAATGTTATTCCATGTGTATGCATATATTTTCAAATTAAATAGCTTATATCTTTAATCATTTTCTTTTCCTTATCTATTTGGAGTCAAATTTCATGTTATTTGCTATGTCAATGTGAAAATGATGACTTTCCTAATTTATTTATACTATTTCTATTAGGAATTGTTGGTTCTGTTCTCGCTAAAGAGGGGCGCATGTCACATGTTTCAAATTTTCTCTCAGGTGCTTTCAAGGTA